TTGATCTGGGAACTGCTAAGAAAGGTATTTTGACTTTAAAATACAGGCCTAAGGATTTGATGCTTTGGAAAAGATGTTCTGCTTTTGTCTCCACAGAGGATGAGAACCTGTGGATTCATTGCAACTTTATGTGGTTTGAATCACTGAGACCCCCTGAAATGTTGATATAAAATACTCCCAAGAATGCAGCACCCCCGCTCAGCAGGAAGTAGCCAGACAGGTTGACGATGACCAAGCTCCCTAAAAGATTGTTAAAGTGGGGCCCCTTCAATGGTTCCAGAGCAGGAGCAGCATGCCTGCTTCCCTGAGTTCTGTTCCACTCCATGCAGCAGTTTGGATCCAGAGCGAGTGCGGCTGGGGCCAGAAGGCAGCTGGAGCAGAGCTTTGCCACCACAGCTACTGCTGCCAGACTTACTCTCTCACAGACTGTGCAGACGGCTGAGACTGTCAACCAGCTTGCTGAAAAGAGTCAGCAATGCTTTGGACATATTCAGTTGGGCATTTTGACCTTGAACCAACAAGTAACTCTGGTTCAGCAAGTGGACTATCTTTGGACTTTTCAACAGTTTATCATGTTATATGTGTTACTCATGGCACTGTATTGCATGCTTCTGCTACTGTTATGGAACTCAACCGTCATATGAAAGGGGTTTGGAATACTGTTTTTGTTAACTTTACCACCCAGTTAGTGCATGCTAGATGGTTGCAGTGCTGGTCTGGCTCCTTGACACTTTCAGTCCTGGGGATACTTGGCTTAGGGCTATGTGTCTGGGTAGCGATGAATGGGCAATACTTTGGGGGCAGGATGTCACCTAAGACAAAGAATATTAGAGGGCTATTCCTCATGACAGGCAAAGTATTATAAAATAAAATGGGGGGAGTTGTTGTGATCCAGCTGCCCTCACTCCCCCTGACTGACAGTGGAACTTCCTTGTGGTCTGTAATTGACAAGGATGCTTGTGTTCTTTCTGGCCCGGTGGGTCTCCACAGAAAGACTAGAGGGATAAAAGATTGCTGGGCAAAATAAAGGTTGCTGTTCTTCCATCTGAAAAGAAGCCTCCGTGCCTCAATCCTGGCGCCCCTCGCCTGTCTTGGCTATAGGCTGTGCTGACTGCAGCAGTACGCTATCACAGTGTGATACTTGGCTGTCCAAGCTGTGCTGGCTGCAGCAGTACACTATCACAGTGTGATACTTTCATGTACGTGCGTTATGTGCTTGTGTCACATTTCTCCTTCATCTTCTCATCTGCTTCCTACTCTCCTGCTCTCTGGTTCTTCTCCTCAGTAGCTCATATCTCATTCTGATTCTTTTTGTTCCCTGGTTTCACATGAAAGAAAATGTAAGATTTGCCTTTGTGGGGCTATTTTTCTTAAGGTTAATTTTGTTTCCATCCATTTTTTTACAGCATTTTCAGAGCAGTGATTGTGTCGCGCTTCCTGACCAGCAGGAATGGACGACCACGAAATTGAGAATCCTTCCCGTATCATGCCTTTATTGGAGCCATTCAGTTGAAGGGAGAATGGGGGACGCAAGAGGGAAGGCGCAGGAGAAGGGGGACGAGAGAGGGAAAGCGCAGGGACGAGAGAGAGAGAGAGAGAGAGAGAGAGAGAGAGAGAGAGAGAGAGAGCGAGAAACCGAATGGCAGCCGCTTTTCTAGGGTGGAGAGGCTTGAATGCTGATTGGTTGATGCCATTCTGCTAGGGCCCCGAGGCCTCAGGACAGGTCAGGAAACCAAGGCTCTGAAATGCAAAACACAGGCCCCAAGCACTCTGTCCCGCGTGGCAGCATCAAAGGATCTGCATACCTCCAGGCTGTAGGACCGCTGGCACCAACTCGCCATGGCAACGTCCTGGCGGCCTCTTACAAGTGATCACACTTGAAGACTTGTAATGTCTACGTATGAGAAGCAATAAATCACAGCTTGGGGCTAGAGAGCTGGCAAAGTGGGTAAAGCATGCAGTGAACTTCCAGAGGAACTGAGTTCAGTTTCCAGCAACCACATCAAGTGACTGACAACTGCCTCTGACTCCAGTTGCCAAGGATTCAATATGCTGTTCTTGCCTCTCTGGGTAGCAGGCATGCATATATGTGGTGCACATACACATACTATGGCACACATACCTACACAAAATAAAAATTTAAGATATGATCAAGACATCTCAGGGCTCTAATCAGTTAACTCTAATCAGTTAAGAGCACTGATTGCTCCTCTAAAGGAGACAGATTTTATTTCCAGTACTCAATGCTGGATCAAAATCATGTGTAGCTCCAAGTCCTAAGGAGCCTTCTTCTAACCTCTTCAGGTACTTTATCACACGATGCATAAAAATACATGTCGGAAAAATACCTATACACATAAAATAAGAATATACCCTTTTACCCCAGCACACATAATCACACACACCCGAGCAGAAGATCCTTCCCTAAGTGCTAAGATAATTTCTGGTCTCACAGATTCATTTCTTCTTTCCCATCTATACTTTGCCTTTTGTCACATAGTAATTTGTAAAATATGATGATTCTACATATTTGGAAAAATTTCACTACTCTATAGTAAATTACATAAGAAAAAGGTTATAATAAAATGTCTAGCTATAATACCACATGACACAGGGTCAGTTTTAGGGTGTTTGATATTTTTTTAAACAATTCTCATTTATTCTTCTCTTATAGAGTACATTCCAGCAACATCAGGCAAACACAGCACAGCAAGATATAGTAAGATGAGAAGATGAGGCACAAACCCTCACATGAAAGTTGGGCAAGGTAACTCAGCAGGTGGAAAATTGATCCAAGAGAAGGCAACAGAGTAAGAGACATCCCCAGGCCTACAGTCAGGGGTCCCTCAAAATTCCCAAGCCAACAACTACAGCATATATACAGAGGACCAAGCCCAGCCCATGCAGGCTCCACAATTGCAGTTTCAGCTGACTCCTGCTTTGTTGATTCTTCGGACCACACTCCCCCAGTTTCTTCAACTCCTCTGACTCCCATTATTCCTTTTGCTGCCCTCCTTAGAACTCTGAGATCTTAGGAGAGGGACATGATGGAGACAACCAACCTGGGTTCTCTCTCTGACGAATGTTTGGCTTTGGGTCTCTGCATCCGTTCCCAGCAGCTGTCAGAGGCAGCCTCTCTGCCGAAGACTGGGCTAGGCACTAATCCTAGACTCCGGGCTATCTAGCCTCCATTCCTTGTCATCCGGGCAGTGTTAAACTTGGACTCCCTCTTTTAGTGCGGGCCTCAAATCAAACCATCGGTTGGCCACTCCCACAAGTTCTGTGTAATCATTGCCCCAGCACACCTTGCAGTCAGGACAGATTGTTGGTTGAAGGTTATATGGCTGGGTTGGTGTCCCAGTCCCATGACTGCAAGCCTTACCTAGTTTCAGAAGATGAACAGTTCAGGCTCTGTATCCTTCATTAGTAGAAGTCCTCGCTAGGGTCAGCCTTGTAGATTCCAGGGAGTTTCCATTGTACTAGATTTGCCTATTCCCTCCCAAATACCATCTAATTTCAGTCATTTCTCCTCCATTCCTCCACCCACACCCAATCCTGCCCATTCCCATCCTTATCCACAGCCAGTCCACCTGCAAAATCTACTCAATTTCCCCTTCCCTAGGAGATCCATGTGCCCCCTCTTGAACTGTCTCTGTTGCTTAGTCTCTCTGGGACTGTGGATTGTAGCATGATTATCTTTATTTCACAGCTAATATCCACTTATAGGTGACTAAATACTATGTTTGTCTTTCTGAAATGGGCTACAGGAGATGGCATTTACTTTGGGCTGAATATTAACCATAAATATTCAACCTTAGGTTTGTCCCACTAACACTTTTAGCTTAATTTAACCTGTATCTATTCTTTTAGCTTTGGAGATTTTTAGCTTTCTTTCATTCTGTATGTCCGACTTTCCTGTTTCCTCTGAGTCTTTCTGACTGGTCCTTGGCATCTCTCTATTGTCTTCTCTTCTTTCTTCTCCTTTTCCTTTCTATCTCAAGCTTAAATTCCTCCTACTTACTCTCCCTTCTTGGAAGTTCCGCCTATATCTCTGCCCTCACTACTGACTGTTCAGCTTGTTTTTAGACCAGTCAGGTCCCATAGGCAGGCAAGGTAAAGCAGCAACACATCTTTACATAATTAAACAAACGCAACCAAGCTTTATGTAGTTAAATAAATAGTCTACAACATAAACAAACAGAACATACTTTTACATCGTTAAACAAATATTTTACAACAGGTTACTCTACACAAGATGGGTTTTTAAGTTCCATTCATTTGCCTGAAAATTTCATGATGCCATTTTATAACCAATGATACTACTCCATTTTGTAAATTTATTATATTTCCTTTAAGTATTCTACACTTTGGGGCCATCTAAGTCATGTATAGTTTCTGGTTATTATGAATAAAGCCACTATAAACACAGTTGATCAAGTGTCTTTGTGGTAGAATGGAACATCCTTTGGATATATGTCCAAGAATGATATAACTGTGTCTTGAGGTCCATTACCAGGTTTTTCAGGAATTGCAACACTGATTTCCACAGTGGCTATACCAGTTTGCATTCCCAGCAGCAATAGAGGAGTGTTTCTTTTGCTACACATCCTTACCATCATGAGTTGTCACTTGTGTTATTGTCCTTAGCCGTTGTAAGAATAAGATGGAATCCCAAAGTGGTTTTGATTAATATTTCAAAGAAGGCTAAGGAAGTTGAACATTTTAAAAGTGTTCTTTAGCTGTTTGAATCTCCTCTACTGAGAATTCTCTGTTTAGATTGGTACCTCATTTTTAAATTAGAGTATTTGGTTTATCATGTCTAGTTTCTTGAGATATTTATTTATTTTGTATATTGGCACTCTATCGGATGTAGAGTTGGTGAAAATCATTTCCCATTCTGTAGGCTGCCATATTCTCCTATTGCCAGTGTCCTTTACCTTACAGAAGCTTTTCAGATTTATGAGGTCACATTTATTAATTGTTGATCTAAGTACTTGCACTATCCATGTTCTATTCAGGAAGTTGTCCCTGTATCAATGAGTTTAATGCTATTCTCCATTTTCTATTATATAATATTCATTGTACCTGATTTATGCTGAAGTCTTTGATCCATATGGACTTGAGTTTTATTGCCAGTTGTTATGGAATATGAAAACAGGATTTGTTGAAGGAGGTAGAGGCAGGAGGATATCTGACATGTTCAAACTGGAGTCTTAGCATTCTACAATAAATAAAAGAATATGGAAATAATTCAGCAAAGGCATATAAGCAGGGTTCATGTCAAATTTGGAAGAAGTTTTCTCTTACCACAGCATGGTAAAAACAGACTGGAACTAGACTTGATATTGCTGAGGAGAACAAATGGGCAAACTATGGGAAAGCACATTTCTAGAAATAGAAATACACTTACTTTCCATAGCACTGTCCCTTTGGAGTAGGTCGTAAAGATGACAACAATGGAGGAGAATGCATAAGAGGTGACAAATATGCACACCAGGGTAAGGATAGTTTGGGCAGCTCTGTCCTCAGGCGAGACTTTCAGACGGAGTTGAGCACTGTGGATGTGCTGGACTTGTCTCTTATGTCTGTAGAGGACATTCACCATGAAGACACTTGAGCAGGCCATGAGACACAGACATAGGCCATCAGTGAAGCACAGAAAGAACATATACAGGGCCGTTGCCACATTGCCGGAGGCAAACCAGGAGCAGTACCCGTAACTCAGTCTGCTAGTCACATTTTTGTTGGAAATGGGGCCTGATACTCTTGCTGGAGTCAAGATGTTTAGAACCAGGTGCACAGGCCAACTGAGTGAGCAGGAGGGACCGATGTACTTGGTGGCTCTGTGTTTCAGCTTCATCCACCTGGAGTTCCTGGGGCTGATTGTGATTGCTTGGAAACAGGTCAGTAGGCACATGACATACAGGGACACCCCTCTCACTATTCGGTAAATGTACACGATCAATTTACATCCAACATCATCTAGGAAATTCTTAAATCCGAAATCTGACATTGCCCTTGGAATGCCTCTTGAGATGATAGACAAACAATTGGCTAAAGTCAAGTGCTCTATAATCAGGTCTTTGGGCATTAAATGCTTTCCATTGAATATAAAAATCAGATAATAAAATAGTATTGAAGAATTTCCAAGCACTCCCACTGTGATCTGGGAAAAGAGGAAAATTCCCATTGCGAAGTTGTCAGATGCCATTTTCATTCCTATTTAAAATGTAAATAAATTTATTATGGTCAGTAGACCCTGGAAATACATTATGGGTGTGCATTATTTCAAGTTGTTTGCTAAAATATTTATCACTTTACTCTATTTACACAGTTCTCTCATTGAAGAACTATGTCTAAAGCTTTATTTTTTATTGAATAGTCTGCATTATTTAAATTGAAAGTTTTTGGTATGTTTACTGAAGATTAATATTTTCTCTGGATGAGGAATTATATGACCTTCAAAACAGAAATCAAGACATAGGCAGAAATACCTATGATTTTGAACCTCACCTGATCTTTGGAGCCGGTTCCAGGAAAGCTATGCTACACAAAGTGAAACCTTGTCTCAAAAAAAAAAAAAACTGCCCCCCAAAGATTAATATTTTCATTGCTTTTGACTAAGCACTGATTTTGAGTCAATTTTCAAAGAAAAAAATTTTAAGCATGCCATTATTTCTGAAAAATCACTTGACCAAAATTCAAAATCAAGAAAAGCAATCAAAAATATGTGAAAATCATATTTAGAATAAGTGGTTAAATATTCAGAACACAAAGAATATTTTATTTGAAGATATGTTTTAGTCTTAATTGTGTGTTGCTGGGGGTGGTTACATGTGAGTGTGAGGGCCAGCAGGGGCCAGAGGCATGGGTCTCCTAGAGCTGCATTTGTAGATGGTTGTGAGTCACCTGTGGGAAGTTAGTAACTGCACTCAAAGAGCAGTATGTACTCCGAAACAATCACTTATCTCTCTATCCTAAAAATAGGAGTTAGAACTTAAAAAAAAACTCTAAAATATAAAATAAATGAGAGATGGGTTCCAGACCTGAATGAATTTCTTGTAAACAATTCAGAAATGTCCAAAATAAGATCAAAATGAGGCCCAGCACCACCACTCATTACAGGAATGCAATGAGGTGATGCAAATCAAAGTTGCAATGAATTCTCATCACGGACAGTATAAGTGGGTATTAACCAAAACAAGGTAAAACAAATAAAAGCAGGAGTTAAAGTTGCTGAGCATGTGATCCAATAAGAGCCAAGGGTCTACTCTATAGGAAAGTAGAATGTTGTAGAAACTCTACAAATTACTATTGTTTTTCTTCAACAAAATTTCTCAATCATTATCAAGTTCCAATTGCAGTGTTACTGCATCTTCCATGTGTTGGATCAACAACTCTTGTTATTAATAAAGACCAATGTTGTAGAAGGATCAGGGAACCTGAGAGGATACAAAACAACACAGGGAAGGGCCAGTGGTGAGTAAGAAGAATAAATGAGGGATCTGACATTCCCTGTCACTGCCTTGCAGAGTCTCAGCAGCTCTCATGAAGAATCTCAGGAAGACACAGTCACTTTTTTCTTGAATGCTTGGTGTGAGTCTGTGTTCAGACAGTATGATTCCGAATGACTTTGTGTAAGATGGACATCCACCTGCATAAGGATGGCAATATCTCTATAGCACCTTGCAGTGCACAAAAATTAATGTTAAATTATTCAAAACCTGGACTGTTAAAATTCTCAGAGGAAAATGCTAGTAATACAACTCAGAGAGGCAACAAGGCTCAATAACACAGGGAATGCACCAAAAATTAATGAGTGGATCGGCATCAAATTAAAAACTTCCTGCACATTAAAGGAAAGCACCAGCTTTTTAGATTTTCCACCTGGCTTTTTTCTGCCCTGCCATTGGCCAAAGCAGATTCTCTATTAACAAATGATAATAAAACATATTCACAGCATACAGAGGGGAATCCCACATCAGTACAGAGCTATAGAGATGACAGTCAATTAAAATGACACTTTCTTGGACTCATAGGTTAGTGATATAAAGTTTAGGTTTCCATTCATAAATTTGCATTTTTGTATATAAGGAAGGGTTAGCAGTATATTAGGTAAGTGTATAATATGATAGACTTTTGCTGCCATTATTTTGCTTGGAATTCACTTATTCACAGAATTCCCTGACATCGGGCAGATATATGACAGCTTCTGAAACTCTAGACAGTGACAAGACAACAGGAATAGAGAAAGTCAAACATACTTGTGCGTATTTTCTAGATGGGAACAGGCCTAACTCTTCACAGGACAAGAGCACTGTATCTGTATATTCTTGTAGGTAACACATGAGCTGGAACCATAAAGCAACAGCTTGAAGGTATATTTAGTGAAATATAAAAGTAGAATATGGAAAAAACTGTCATGTTTAAGAATTGCTGAAGTACCAAGAGATAAATCATACTTCTATTTATTTATTTCTTACCTGTAATTCATTAAATTTTTAACTCTTAATCTTCAAGCTTCCATAAAATTCATCTTTCCTAGAAGAATAATCACCCTATAATTTATAATTTATAATTGATAAAAATTTTAATTAATACTATAAATATTTTCTTTTACCCATTCCTATAATCTATCTATCAGACACAAAAATAGAATACATTTCCCAGAAGTGTATAAATTGGTGAATAGGAAGAATGAAAAGAATATAAGCAATTCAAGCCATTAGGATGAGATGGGAATGTAGCTCATGGCTTGTCCAGTTGGTGAAAGGTCCTGGGAATGATTTCCAATATCATCAGTAAAGAAAAAGATAAATCCAAATAGATCCTCCTTTTAAAAACTAACAATTAGGAAGAGATGTGCAGAAAGAGATAGAGAGAGGGTGAGGAAGATGAGATGGAGACAGAGACAGAGGCTGACCAAGTGAAGCTAGAAAAATCAAAAGGAGATGATATCACTAAGAGATATCTTACTAAGATATGTCTACTGATATAGATTTAGTAGCAGCTAATGGGAGGAGCAGGGTTCACACAGCTTAGGGAGGACTGGAGACAGCTGACTCTGCCCTGAGTTGAAAAATAACCCCAATTTCATCCACAAACCCATTAAAATTCCCTGTCCCTAAACCAATATCAGAGTTTTCCCTACCCTAACTATTCCTTGAATTTTCTGTCCTTCCTTCCTTCCTTCCTTCCTTCCTTCCTTCCTTCCTTCCTTCTTTCCTTCCTTCCTTCCTTCCTTCCTCCCTCCTTCTCTCCCTCCCTCCCCCTCTCTTTCTTTCTTTCCTCCTCTCCTTCCTTCCTTCCTTCCTTTTCCCCTCCTTCCCTCCTTCCTTTCAGCAGAGCTGTTGAAAAAAATTATTAATACAGATTTTTAAAGTACAACTACACTTAAGAGAGGCACTTAGGAAGAAAATAAGATGTATCCAATAGCACAACCATGACTTCTCCAAGGAGTGTTTTCTAATGTCTTTAGTTATTCCTACTCTTATTCTCTGACCACTCACCTTAGTGCTCGGAGACACCATGATGCTGTTCACATGAAAACTGAGACTCTGCTATAACTGTGGTGGGACACTTTCCCTGATTTAAAGGCTTGGAATCTCTTAGTATTATATCCCAGCAGGCTGGTTATTTTTAACTCAGTTCTAGACCCATGATGACAGCATCTCCACAAGCATCTGAAGTAACTTTTAAAAACCTTGGTCCTGAGTCCTGTCACAAAACAAAAGAAAATAAGCAACTCCAAGATAGCAATTAAGAATTAGAATGGGAGAATCCTGCAAAAAAATAAAATAAAATAAAATAAATTTATATAAAGAATTAGAATGGGAACTTTTCTATCAGTCCTTTGGGCACAAAGCAGAGAGGCATACAGAAGGAACAGCGTTCCAGTGCTATTAAAGTAGAGGCAAGTTGCACACATACAAAATAAAAAGAAATAAAATTAACAAAATAAAATAATTTGAAAGGTAGATACAGTAGCAGAGAAATCTGTCCTATCAGCTCCTAAAAGGTATGGAAAGGGCAGACAAAAGGACCTCTATGAACTTTAAAACCACCTGCCAACTGTTCAATTCGTATACCAAGAGAGTGTGTCTCAAATAAGGTACAAGGTAAGGTCCAATAGCCCTACAAAGAGGCACCCACTAACACATAAGACACAAACACTCACACACACACACACACACACACACACACAAATATAACACATAGGAGAAACACAGAAGCATCAACATTTATTTACTGATGAGAATTAAGATAACAGCCAATATTTAGGCATTTGGTAAACTTTAGTGAATGAACTGTCAAATTTTTCATTGTCTTTACACACACATGCTAGTGGGATGGGACAACAGATGGAAGGAACAATCCAGAAGTTAAATGACAAATCTTCCCTGGCTAAGTGCTAGTTAGAAGTTACATATTTCTTCATGTGCCAATGAGACACTGAGTTGGAAGCCCTGCTAGCCTCTGACGAGAAGGCACACAGTTCTGTCTGACTTGTGGTAATGATAGGTATGGTTATACCTGGAGCAGGTGTAGGGCTTGTCTCCTGTGTGAATTCTCTCATGAGCCTTCAAGTTTGTCTTGTGGTTGAAGGACCTTCACATGCGCTTCATGTGAAAGGCATTTTTGGTTTGTGTAGGACCTCATGAACCTGGAAGCCAGAGACTTGATAGAATCCTTTCTGACAAATAGGACAGACAAATGGCCTCTCCTTCCTGTGTCTTCTCTTGTGGCCTGAAGGTTACAGGGATATTCCAAGATTCTGAGCCAAGTCTTGAATTTTTAAGGTTTGAGATTTGTCTGGAATCTCTAGCTTTGACCCATATATATGATGAGATCCTCTCTCAGCCCCATCTTACTACTTCCTATCTTGCATCTATATACATTCCTCCAAACCTCTGTTGTGGGAACTCCTTCAGCCAATAGCCTTTAAGATACGGTCCCACAAGGCCAGTGGTGTAGTGCACATCTTTAATCCCAGCACTTGGGAGGCAGAGGCAGGAGGATCTCTGTGAGTTCAAGGCCAGCCTGGTCTACAAGAGCTAATTCTAGGACAGGCTCCAAAGCTAGAGAGAAAACCTGCCAGAAAGAAAGAAAGAAAGAAAGAAAGAAAGAAAGAAAGAAAGAAAGA